CACGTACGTGGCGCAGGTGCTCGGGGCCGCCTCTTCCTTCGCCCGCGCGGCTGCCTATGTTTGTGGAAGTCGATTCATGGAGAGGAAGCGTGTTGCCAAACCATTTCCAGATGTCCAAAGCACGCTTCAACAATGCTTGAAGCATTTTGTAGAACATGTTTGAACCATTTGTAGAACAATGTAAAACCATGTTTGACACAAAAAAGACATGTTTGAATCAATTAACGGTGTAAATGTCCAAGCATGTTTCAACACTACAAAAGCATGTCTTACACATTTTCAGAACATGTTGTAGGTGTCCATTGTCGCGGCATTCACAAGCCTATGTGTCAGGCGATCGCAAACATGGATTAAGGGGGCGTGGATTAGCGACGGGTCCCGTTTCCATGGGACATCGCGGATCTCCGCCGCCGAGCGAGGCGGCACTGGCCGCATTTTGGGGAGGGCCCCTCCCCCGATCCATGGGTTTGGCGACCGCGCGCCAAATCCATGGATCTCTAATCCATGTTGGCGCGCCCCCGATCTGTTGAGAAGCATGGGCCTCGATGGGGGGAATGATGGAGCAGCCTGACCCTCAGTACTGCAGAGCCACGCAGCTCTCGTCCTGCGGCGCCTTCACGGCCGCGACCGCCCGCCGGCGTGGGTCGCTGTGCACGGCGCCCGAACTGAGGTGGCACGGATCGTGCCTGTTTGCGCCCCGCGCCCCAGCTGCCGAGAGACGCCAGACCATCGCCGCCGTCGTCACCAGCCCACCGTCGTCACGAACATCATCACTGTCCTCGTCATTGTCGTTGTCGTCGCCCTCGTCGTCAGGCCGCCAGGGGCAAGGATCTGCATGAGAAGGGTCCTCGCACCACTACGGTATTCGAGTTTTGCTAACATGTTGCGGGTGGGTGGGTGGGTGGGCGGCACGTTTACGCGAGCGTCGGATGCCGTCCCGCGCGGGTGCCAGCAAAATGATTTGCATACCGTATATTGAACCCAACTGTTTAGATTATTGATGTTCCGTTACTTAGTACGATGTCTGTATGTGTACACATATATATATATATATATATATATCGGAGGTGAGGGGGTGAGATCGAAGTGGAACGGAGAGCCCCCCTACCGGGAAATCGATTTCGGTTTCGTGTTCGTGCGTGCCGTGCGTGCGGGCGAGGCGAAGCTGCGTGGGCGGGCGAGAGAAAGTCTCCTGTGGCTGAGGCGCGGCCGGACCAAATGATTCCCTTCCGGGCGGCCGGGGCCCGCGGTGTCCCGCCGGTGTCCCGCTGGTGTCCCGTATGGCTGAGGCGCGGCCGGACCAAATGTCTCCCTTCCGGGCGGCCGGGGCCCCGTGGTGTCCCGCCGGTGTCCCGCTGGTGTCCCGTCGGTGATGATGATGATGATGATGATGATGATGATGATGATGATGATGATGATGATGATGATGATGATGATGATGATGATGATGATGATGATGATGATGATGATGATGATGATGATGATGATGTTGACAACGATGATGATGATGGTGATGATGATGGTGGTGATGATGGTGAGTTCGGTAGTGAGATCGATAGTGAGACCGAATGTGAGATCGATTGTGAGATCGATTGTGATCTCGATAGTGAGGTCGATAGTGAGACCCAATGTGAGATCGATAGTGAGATCAATAGTGAGTTCGATAGTGAGATCGATAGTGAGACCGAATGTGAGATCGATTGTGATATTGATTGTGATATCGATAGTGAGATCGATAGTTAGATCGAACGAGAGGTCGATCATGACTTCGATAGTGAGTTCGATAGTGAGATCGATAGTGAGATCGATTGTGAGATCGATTGTGAGATCGATTGTGATATCGATATTGAGATCGATAGTGGGACCGAATGTGAGATCGATTGAGGTCGGTTGTGAGATCGATCGAATGAGATCGATAGTGATATCGGTAGTGAGATCGATCGTGAGACCGAATGTGAGATCGATCGTGAGATCGATAGCCAGATCGACTGTGAGATCTATTGTGATATCGATTGTGATATCGATAGTGAGATCGTTAGTGAGATCGAGTGTGAGATCGATAGCCAGATCGATTGTGAGATTGATCGAATGAGATCGATAATGAGGTCGATAGCGAGATCGATAGTGAGATCGATCGAGTGCGACGGTGCCCCCCCCCTCGCCTCCTTATCACCCGAAGGGTGGTCTATGCGGTATATATACATATATACAAGACTGCAGTGGCGCTTCGCGCCATGCACCTTGGTCCTTGAAGTTTGGTATGCAGGCGGAATGGCAGGAAGGTCAAGCCGAACATTTAGCGATAACTCCTTGTTGCCTTTTCCAGCATAGCCGCTAACAGCATGTTATTCGTTATCCTTCCTCCATGCTTATTTTTCCTCGTTCTCGCCATACCCTGCGCATTTTCCCCATCCTCCTCAGCTCTTCTTGCGGAGGAGAGCCTCTGGGGACCTCACAAAAGTTTCAGGCTTTCGTAAGGCCTTCTGGAGGCCTCCTGAGCGTATTCTGGGGGTGCTGGGGGCTTCCTCGGGCCACCCTGCCTCCAACCGCTGGAATGCTTCGGAGGGTGTCTTGGGGCCGTCTTGGGCCGCCATGGGGCTCTCTTAGGGCCATCTTGGACTTCTGTTGTGCTGTTTTGGGGCTGTCTCGGACTGCCTGGAAGCCCTTTCGGATGGTTGTGGGACGATTTTGGAGCCTCCCAGGCGGCTTCGGACGCCCAGAAGACTGCCGTGTTGGAGCGTCGGGAAGCCCAAAAGAGGAGAATCCCCAAATTCGCCAACAACGCGCAGAAAATCAATGATTGTTGCCTCTTGGGGCCTTCTTGGGAGTGCTCTTGGATGCTTTTTGAAGCCTTTCGGGCCGTCCTGGAGGCCTCTTGGGCCATCTTGAGGTCACGTCGGCCACTCTTGGAGCGCTCTTGTGCTGTTTTGGGGATTTCTCCGATGACCCCCCTGATCGCCCTAGGTATGCTGGGAAGGCTTGGCAAAACGCCCTGCGAGGCCTGGGGGGACGCTTCGAGGCCCGTCCAGAGGGTCCCAAAGCTCCAGATCCCGGGAGTCAGTTTTTTTTTTTTGGGGGGGGGGTCCCCCCGCCCGGGTTTTTGAACATATAGGAAGAGGACAATGTGTATATGTGTATAGATCTACAGATCTAGGGATTTACACGCCGGCAGGGCTTCGCCCCCCCTATCGATGACATCTCGGTCAAATTTGGTACTGCCTTCCTGGGTCTTCCAGGGGTCCCCAGGACACCCTATCTCTCGAGGGTGTGTGAAGAAAAAAATGCCCCCCCAAGAGGCCCTCCAAGAGCCCCCCGAGAGCCCCCGAGATTCCCAAGAGGCCCCTAGAGGCCACACTGGACCCGACGCGACGGCCGCAGCGGGCCGCAGGAGGGTCTCGAAGACGCCCCAGAGCCGCCCGCGGGAAGCTGCCACGAGGCATCCTCTCTCCTCAGCCCTGCCTCCTCACAGCTCTCTCGCTCCTCCTCCCGGTTCGCCGTTGTGCCCTTCTCCCTCCTCCCTCCAAGCTTATCTCTCCTTCACTCCTTCCTCCCTCCGCCTCCCTCGCCCAGCTTGCTGTCTCACGAAGTGGTAGGAGACCAGAGTTTAAACAGGCATGAGGGACATCCTACAACTCCTTTGTTTTCAAGTGCGCCCCCCCAGAATGCGTTTCCGCCTCTCCCCCATCCCTCGCTGTCCGTTCCCCCTGATCTTCTCCTGCTTCCCGCTTCGCATCCTTCTCCTTGTTCTGCCCCTCTGGGTTTTGCAGATCCCCCTAAGGAGTCCCAGTATGCATCCAGCAGAGGTCTCTGAATCAAGACATCCTCACGATGTTCCGCCAGGAACCCCACAAGGCCCCCAGGAGGCCACCAGGAGTCCCCGGGAGGCCCAGGAGGCGCCCCCGCGAGACTCCAGGAAAGCTCGCTCTCCAGACGCCCCCAAGACGCCCCCCCCCGGGAGACTGCCGCCAGACATCTCTCAGATGGCGGCGACTTTGGAGGAGGCGGCTCGGCTCTCCTCATTATTCCTTTCTCCCTCCCCCTCATTACGTATACTCCCTCCTGCCTCCTTCCTCCCTCCCTCCTCCTTCCTCCTTTCCTCCTCCCTCCCCCTCCCCCCTCCCTCCCTCCCCCCCCCTCCCACCTCCTCCCTCCCCCTCTTCCCTCCGGGCTTGTCTCCTCTCGCTATTTTGCGCATTCTGTTGACGAGCTGCCACTGTAGGACGAGTGCGGAGCTGTCCGATGCCGGCGCTGCGCGAGCGAGCCCCCTCCCATCTCTTCTCCGCTCGTCTCTCTCTCTCTCTCTCTCTCCGCCTCCCTCGCCCCGCTCCCTGCTGCACGAAGGCATTGGAGCCCCAACCTGAATGAGCAGATCCCCCACAGCGCCACGTCTTTTTTGCAAGTTCGACCCCCCCCCAACTAATTCATACTGGCGTGCCTAGCGCTGGCGTGCCAAGTCCTCGTTTCGGGCTCCTCTCTCCTCTTCTCGGTCCTCCTCTTCCTCCCGTCGGGGGCCACATTCCAACCCTACCCCTACCCCACACGATTTCTGAGGGGGAGGGTGGGGTTCACTTCGCTCGGGAGCTCCCGAACGAAGTGAACCCGACCCTCCCCCTCAGAAATCGTGGGGGGTAGGGGTAGGGTTCGCGTGTGGCCCCCTATCCCGTTCCACGTCCCCCTCCTTCTCCCATTCCCCTTCTCCTCGGCGTCGACGCCGTCGCCGCCGCGGCTCCCGTAGTGCATCTGGTGCGCAATGAGTGTTCTTACCCTCCCCTGAGCCCCCCGACCGCCCAAGGCTGTCCCAGAGGCCCCCGAGCTCGTCTCCGGTGATTCCCAAGCAATTCCCCCGATGGCCTGGGGGAGGGGGGGGAGGAGGAGGAGGAGGAGGAGGAGGAG